TGATAAAAGATTAAAGAATTAAACTACTTATAATTACAAATCATGCGTATGTTTGTGTTATCTTATTAATTATTTAGACCTTAATATTTTTATTTTTTTATTATTATTATTATTTTTTTACATTTCATAAGAAAATCATAAGTAACTTATTATGAAATATTCCAAGCATTATATTTATTCATAAGTTTAACTCGTAAGGTTAGACAAACCTGTCAAAACTTGCTTATATATGTATAACTGAGATCGTCCTGGCAAAAGGATATCAAAAGAGGTGAGAATAAGAATAAGAAGTGTTTAATGTTTGCTGTCTTCTCTCTGTTTTTGAGTTTCAAATATGGTTTGTTTCGTTAACTTTTCTGCATTTGTCTTCCAAGGAATCAATCCTTCTTACCTCACCCCCTCAACAATTTCACTCCAAGATACGACTATTAAGAAAGATGCATTAGGATATTCTCTCGTGAGTAAGCACCGGAGTATGACCGGACAGACCAAGAGAAAGAGTATTTTATCCGGCGAGCTTAAGTCGGTGCAAATCCAGGAGGCATTGCCTGAGGGTCTCAAACCAGAGCTTATGCCTAAGCACGTTGCTATTATAAAGGATGGTCACCGGAGATGGGCCAATGAGAGAGGCTTAACAATGCAGCTTGGGCACACAACTGGTGGACGTGTAATAAAGGAGAAAGTTTTCCTCTGTTGCAAATGGGGAATCAAAGTTCTTTCGGTATTCGCATTTTCTACAGAGAACTGGGGTCGTCCCAAAGTAAGTATACTCGATCCCAACTAATAGTCGTAAATTGTATTATATATTGTTGAATGAGCAGAGACACATTGTCGTGATCACATAAATGTTAACTTGCATGATGTTCTACCTTAAACAAAGGCATTATTTGCATGCATGAAAAAAGAATATACAAATTTCTTGACGTTAGCACTGCATTTCTATGGAGTAGGAGGAGGTTGACTTTTTGATGAACCTGTTTGAAGAGGAAATACGAACAGATCTCCAGGAATTTACAAGGTATTCATTTTTCCATTTGCGTAAAAAAAAAAAAAAGTCTCTTTTTTAGTGGAATTGAGTTTATTAGTTCTAAGAACTTTCAATTTATCAAAATCTTTTAGATTTCATTGTATCCTAGAAATAAGTTCGTTTCGAAGTCCTATTCATGGCTACCTAGTTGAATTAGGAGAAGCTATATGTATTATTGCAGAACAATCGATTGGAGAATCTGGTACTCAATTAACATTAAGAAGCCCTTTGTTGAAACTAGAAGATTCATGGAAGCGAAATAAAATTTAAATGAAAATACAATAAACTACACAAGATGGCGAAACCAGCAATAAACATCAATGACTTGTTTAATAATGTGAAGAATACAATATTAAATGCTATTAGAGAATTTGTCCATACTATATCCACCTCTACAAGTCCCTGGGTATTTAGTTCATGTTTGAGCCTCAATATATAAAAATTCATTTTTCTTAATACTCGTTTTCAATCATACATTTTTTCAATAAAATAATTTTACACTTATATCCAAAAAAAATTCTTACTTTTTAATTACACAATCGCCAAAAATGCACTATTACAAAACTCATTCTTTTAAAAAATGTGACTCAAACATACCCCAATATGGCTCAAACACACCCAGTTTGATGTGGGATTGTGCTTAAAATAAAAAATTTGCATTTTCTTTACTTTGACAGAAAAAATGTGCGTATATCAGTAATTGGAGACAAATCAAAGCTTCCAAAGTCACTGCAGGAATCAATAGCCACCGCAGAGGATACAACAAGAGGCAACACTGGACTCCATCTTATGATGGCATTAAACTACAGTGGACGATACGATATAATGAAAGCAAGTAGAAGCATAGCCAGCAAAGTGAAAGATGGCTTTCTTCAAGTTGAAGATATAAATGAAACCCTATTTCAGAATGAACTTGAAACAAAATGTGTGGAATTTCCGAACCCGGATTTGCTTCAGAATGAACTTGAAACAAAATGTGTGGAATTTCCGAACCCGGATTTGCTTATACGAACAAGTGGGGAACAGAGAATCAGCAATTTCTTCCTGTGGCAGTTGGCCTACTCAGAAGTCTACTTTCCAGAAAAAAAGTTTCCTGACTTTAAAGAAAAAGATTTCAAAGAGGCCTTAAGTTCATTTCAGAAAAGGAAGAGGCGCTATGGAGGAAACGAATAGTAGAATCATCGCTAATAATTAAGCACAGTTTTACTTCTTCCGACATATATGTATTGTGCTCTAAATAGTTTTATATTTTCAGCGATTAATTATTAATTCAATAATGTTTATCGTATTACTTCTGTTCT